GCTTAACCAAAGCAATAAGCAAAGCAAAAGGCAAGGCTTATTAAAAAGGGAAGAAAGGGTATAAAAGCAGCCATTGCTGCCTGCGAAGTAATTATACTTGCCGCTTATAAGCCGGATCCGGCCGACCTACCCGCTTTATATAAAGTCCGTTTCGAAAGTTGCGCTAGCGGAGTGAAATCATATTGCTAATATAATTGTAATTATAATTATAATTGCAATTAGCGTTAAAGTTGATATTAAAGTTAAAGTTAAAGTTAATATTAACGTTGATATTAAAGTTAAAAAGAATATTTAAATTATAGTAAATATTAAAAAGTAATAAACGAATTCACTTTTCAAAAAGGTCCGTGCTTAACTAAATTCTTACATTTGCCGTATTCGTCGGTATAGCAGTATTTTTATACAATATTTTATATAATAGCTTATAACTCTTATAACTCTTGTAACTCTTATAACTCTTGTAACTTTTATAACTCTTATAACTCTTATAACTCTTATAACTCTTGTAACTCTTATAACATAATTAAATTTTCGCTTTTGCTAAATCCATCGACTTAGCATGCATAATCATATAAAATTATCAACGTTATAAAAGTTACAAAAGTTATAAAAGTTATAAAAGTTATAATTGATTCGGCTTAATTAAACGTACAATTTAAATACATTATTTACCCTTAATCAATTACTAATAATTATAAAACCTCTTTTAATAATAAACCATTCTTATATATCTTATAATTCGTTAAGCTTATACTCTTTTATAGCTATCAATCGGTAAGACTTAAACTCGATTTATCTATAAGCTTTTAAACTTTGCAATGCTTTTTTTACTCGCTTATCTGATATTTATAAGCGCTAAAAGGTGCGCTTATTACGATAATTATAACAAGTATATAAGTTGTCGAGCTCTTTTTACGAAAATACACTTAAATAGCCTTAGCAAAGTTCGTCCGCTAATTTAATTATATATTCCGATATTATTATATCTATTAAGTTGCTAACTAAACCTTTTCGAGTTATATTCCGAATAGAGTATTCCTTAGCTAGCTTATTGCGTCGTTGATAATAGCAATTTAAGCAAGTAATAAATCGCAAACTAGTGTTTAAAATAAAGAAGTATAACAATAAGCGGAAGCTGCTGCACTTAATGCATTCGATTTTAATAAGTCCTTTAAGTAGCTAAGCAAATGCGAAAAGCGCAAAACGCGGTAAAAATTAATAAATCGTATTTATGCTTAACTTAAAAGTCGAAAAGAATAAAAAAAAAGCAAATCTAACGCTAATTCTAATGCTTTTGCTTTAGCTTTGATTTTATTAGATTGCTCGATCTGCTTAAATGCGCGGTATACTTCGAGATCGTTATATATTTTCTTATTTTTATACGTCGTGTATATGAACTTAAAAAGATCCGTAAGTATAATATTTTAACCTCTTTCTTTGCTTACTTCGCTTTATTGTTTGCTTTAAGCATCATCTTATGTTTTATCATTGCTTTAAGCATCATCTTGTGTTTTATTATTGCTTTAAGCATTATCTTATGTTTTATTATTGCTTTAAGCATTATTATTAATTTATTAGCTGTTTTAAGCATCGATAAATCTTTTAAGATTGATTTTACTTATAATACGAATCATCTCGTCGTTATTACCGAAAAGATCGAGTGACTTATATCGCTAGCGTAACAAGCTAGATAATAATGCTATAAAAGCGCGTAGTAAAGTTGCGTAATAAAGGTCGTCTAATAAAAGAATTTTTACTAATAATATAATAGCCTTTTTTTTTTCTTTTTTAATATTTCCCTCTTCTTTAATATCGCTTTCTTTTTTAATCTCCTTTTCTTTAATCTCTCTTTCTTCAATCTTTCTTTTTTCAATTTCCTTTTCATCAATCTCTTCTTTTTTAATCTCTTTTTTATTAAGCTCTTTTTTTTTAATATAATTAGTAGTACTTTGTGTTTCTTGCTTCGTATTTATAATAGCAATAAGAAAAGCGATAAATGATTTATTGCTATGTATTATTTGATTTCGGTATATCGTAAAAGCAAAGTGTTTAGATATAAAGAAATTATTATACTAAAGCTAAGTGCACGTGCAAATAGGCCTTTGTTTAAATTAAGCGAGGTACAAAAGCTTTTTATTAGTTTTTATAACTTTTATAACTCTAGTAACTTTTGTAACTTTTATAACTTTTATAACTTTTACAACTTTTGTAATTCTTATAGCTTATGTAATATATATATATATTTATACGTTTTACAACCGCTATGCAAGCTGACCCCGATACACATGATCTGTGTCCCGATCAATACTAATACTAATAGACTTTTTTTTAAACCGACAAAAATCAAACACATTCTCAAATATAACCTCCGCCAAAGTCTTTACTTTAAAAGCTAAAACATAATATAGCTTATAAGTAAACTCAGCCCTAGCCTAGCTAATCACTGCTTTAATCAAGGAAATTCCTTAATTCTTATATACCGTAATTGCGTAAGCCACGCGAAAAAGCAGCTGCCGACGATTATAAAGCTTATTATCGTAAAAAAAGTCTCGATCCACGGTAAATATTAAGAACTATTTAATATTTTCGAAAGTAAGATTAATATAATCTTCGATCTTTATTATAATGCTTTATAACAGTTCTTTACGTAGTTTAGCTTTTGCTTTTTAAAAAATATCTTTAACTATTCTTATAAACCTATTAACTATTTTTATTTCTATCTAAAGATTTTAATTTAATATCACTTTAGCTTTAATACATATATCAATGCTTTGCTTTAAGCCTTTAGCTTCTTTTTAATTAGCGTTGTAAGCTTTCGCGCTGCCCGTATTCTTTAACTTAAGTCTTAAAATAAGCGCGTCCAGCTTTTTTAATTGCTCGTAATTGTATTTTCTAACTTTCGCGTTCGTAAAGTAAATACAAAAAGCATCTTTAAAAGAATCTTTATCAACCGGCCGGATATTTATTTTAGCTCGAGATATAAGAAGTTCTTAACTATCTATCGAAAAGTTATCTTCTCGGAGTTTTAAAAATGCTTTACGGAAATTGATAACTTTTAAAAACTCGCTTTTTTAACGCATAATAACTTTAAATCGAATAGTTTTATTAAATAATCGATAAAAAAACTGACCGATCTTTTATTCCGGCGAAAAGTTATAAGTTATAAATAAAGACTTTCTTTTAATTAGCGGTAATTAATAAAAATCATTATAAAAGTAAATACTCAAACCTTTAAATAGCTTTTAAGATTTAAAGAAAATCTAAGCATAGCGTTTTTAAATTCAAGCGAAGTCTTTTAGATTAATTATTAACTTTTTATTAATGATTAAATACTTGCAGTCCTTGAATTTCGCTTAAAAGGTTTAAAAAGTAGCAAGAGAATTATCTATAGCATAGTATTTAACTAGTAACGCTAATAAAAAATGTAATATAACTCTTGCAATACTAAAAGCAGCAACACTTATAAGCGCTGCTCGGATAACTAGATTTAGCTTGCTAGCTTCGTTTGCTATATCTTAGAGCTAGACGTAAATAGCTAGAATAAAATAGGTTTTGCTCGTGCTAGCTTTACTATCGAGATGAATTAGCAATTGTAAAAGAAGTTAGTTTAATAATACTATAGTATAATAATCTATTATAGAATAATAAAACTTCTTTTGCTTATCGAAAAGTCTTTTAAAATCATAACTTCGAATAGCGCTAACTCGTATATTAAACACTTTTACAGCAGCTCTTTAATCTCGGATATAAGTTAATAAAATGTTATATTTGCTAACATATAAATCTTAATTATAAGCTAAATCCTTAAGCCGGTTCGATATATCGTTTTCGTTTATAAGCATAATATAAAGGTTCCGGAAGTTGCGCAAATTCTATTTTTCTTTTACGTTAATATTATTACGGTCTCGAGGCTTAAGCTTTTTTATATCGTATTTATCGTTTGAACTAGCTTTATCTGCTTCGTCAGCTATAAAAAGAAGATCGTAATAATCTAGCGAATATAAAGAATCGCTATAAAGATCTCGATAAAAGCGCTTGCACGCGTTATACGCAAAAGCAAATGTTGTATACTCTTTTTCGATAACATTAATAAATAAATCGCTTTTTATTCGATAAAAGTAATGCAACATCAAGTAAATACGCGAGTTATGCTTATAATCGTTATAGATCTTAATATTTAAGTATTAAAGATAATAATTAATAACTTAAAGCTTGTCTTTTTATATAAAATTCTTCTTTTAGCATATGTAAATATCGTATACTGTTGGATTGCTTCCAAGCGATTGGGAATATATATTCGTAAGGTCGTAACGGTCGTCAAAGTACTTGCAATTGCAAAACACTCGGTTGATAAGGTATTTGAATTCTGTCTGCTCCCCAAGATTCAGGGGAGCTGATTCCTTCTATAGGATTAGAAGGAATCACGTGCATTAGCTAACTAATAGGTCTACTTGTCAAGTTGGGGGTCCTTTGACTGCTGACATGCTAAGCGAGGCATGCTAAGTGGCCCGTGAACCATGGTTCACGGGTGAGCTTCCCCAACTACTACTACTACTACTACTAGCTAGCTAAGGTCGATATGGATATACCGACACCGGCAACTTTCTCTTTGGCAAGCAGTGCTTTGCTAACTACTATATCGACCGAAAAAGGAAGGAAGGTGATCAAACAAAGGAAAAACAATCTCACTCCATCAAACCTCACTCTCCCTTCTCTTACAGCGGTCTTTCCACCCACTCGTCTACTTGCACCTTCAAGGTATTGGTCAAAACTAACTCTTGTAAAGAGGTGTTGGTCCCGACTTTAGTCATGGCGTCAGCAGGGTTGGATTTTCCTCCGATCTAGCGTACCTTAGATAGCTCTCGCCTTTCGTATGACTCTCGAATAGCTATAATATCGATCATCAGGCGCTTCTCTTTGGTAGTTCCCAGCTTTACTATACACTCGTAGAGCGAGTAAGAGTCAGTGCACACAACTACGGGGAAATTAGGGATCTTTAGCTAAGCTGTGATTTGGGCAAAGGTAGTCGATATGGCAATGGCTATATCGATACTTAAGGACATAGCGTATAGCTCAGAGGCTAACACCGCCTTTGTCACCTTCTTGCACTTCTGTGACACCCAATGGAGGATGTTACCCGTCAGAGTGAACTCGTTCTCACTTACGTGAGCCTCATTGCCAAGGATAGCTACGAAACTGATCTGGGAGCTAAGGTTAGCGTTATTGGCAAACGCTCTATCCACGAACATAAAGAGCTTCGCCGTCCTCAGGTCCAAGGGCACGTAGTGGATCCCTCGAGTTGGGTGATCGATCAGCCACTGGATCACCTTATTGAGGGCCTTGTAGTCTTCGTCCTTCGGTTCCTGGTGCTGGGCAGCCATCGATAGAGCGCAAGATGCTTCTGGGTAGCAAATGGTAGCTAAATACGCCCCTCGGGCACGTTGCTCTAAGTACTCCTTAGCCCGCGTAGCTGAATCGAGCTTGATTACGGCAAGCCTCTTACCCTGCCCCTTTTGCCCAACTGACAGTCCGAACCCGTCCTTATCCAAGGATAGCTTGCATCCATTGAAAATCATCGGCTCGGCGTGTGTGAGGGTCTCTATTTCCTTGCTCTTCAGCTTGGATTTGACCAGCTCCTTCTCTTCCCTTGCCCTCATAGCTGGATTGATAACCATGAGAACATCATCCGTCTGTAAGGCAGCTATTCTTAGCTGATCTTTGTTGGTTGACATAAAAAGGCAAGAGTCAAAGCTCGATTGCTTTATGCCGAGGTTGTTTGTAAAGTGCCCGGAAAAACGCTTATACTAGTGTGTCTTTGCCTCGGGGATGCCGTATAAGGGGCCAGTCATAAGGAACAAGGTGCCGGGGGGGAATCGATGGGTGATCTCTTTAGGTGGTCGCACGACGATTATTCGAATGAGCTTCGTACTTGACTGAGTGTAAGCCTGAGTGATATCCTTGCCACAGACCTGACACTCGTAGTCCTTTATCAGCGAAGGAGCTAGAGCACAACAGAGTCTTTGGCCCGCCCGTTGCACCGTAGGTGACTCGGTGAGTACCCTCGTCTTGCCCTTATCTTGGAAGGCTTGGACTACTATACGAGACTTCTCGTATAACGTAGGTGTTCCCTTGCCCTTGATCTCGTCAACAAACCTAGATCCGAAGATCTTGGCGCCTTTAGCGCGTGGGTCGGTGCCCGGGATCACTTGGAGGATGCCTTGGGCCATTAATCCAGCCAATTCCTTTGCTCTGGACTCTTGAAATGGTGCCCTAGGGCTTTTGATGACTCCCTCGGCTCGTAGCTTGGCTGAGAGCTCATGGTCCCGGCGTTCTTTGTCGGTAACCAACACTTCGGAGTCCTTGGTGAATAGCACGTAGGAATCGTCTTCCTCCTCATCGAGCACGGTCGGGATACTCGGATCGTACTTCTGGTAAGGTATTTGGACCATTGGTATTGTTGACTTCTGGGAATTGACAAGTTGAGGGGGGCTGTTTGCTGATCTTGGCGAGCTTCTTGGATTAGGCGACTTCGGTGGATTAAGCGACTTTTGAGGTTTAGGCGAATTTCGTAGTTCTAGCTCTTTTTCGCTTTCGCTCTGATCTTCTTCTACTTCTTCTTCCACCTCTACCTCAGGTACCTGCAACTCCTTTGGCAGCTTTTCAACTTTAGAGTAGTAAGGTTTTACTGAGGTTGACTTGAATTCCGTAGGCCTCGGACAAGCCATTGTGCACGTGTGCCCCTGCCTGCCAAGCAGCTGAAAGGGGCCCTTCCACCCTTGGTTTTCCCGCCACACGAGCACCCGTGAGCCAATAGGGAGGTCTAGGGTATGCTCCGTAATTGGGCCATTCCTCCTCTTGAGCGCGTCCTTAACTTGCTTCGCAGCGTGGCATTTTCGTACTTCCCTCATAGCCTTGTTGATGGCAGCAGCACGCTCCTGGGTAGACGCGGCAGGTCGATCTTGCTCCGTCAGCTTCGGTAGGGTCCTAAAAACGAGGAGTGTAGGAACCAGGCTATTAGGTCCAGCTGTGTCGTTGATGGCTTTGATAGCCATTTGAAGCCGGTCTTCCCTTGGGGCTTTTGGAAGCTCTTTTGTGACGATCTCAAAGGCGCGTCGCACAGGGACGTGGTAGCGTTCTACTAGCCCGACGCTGTGATGGGCTTTTACAGGCATCTGCTTTGGGGTGCTGCTAATACTTTTGAGGTAGCCTCGGAACGTTACCGAATTGAAGTTGGTTCCGGGATCGTGTACGACGTTTGTAGGAGGTCCGACGTAGGTATTGACCCAACATCGACTGAATCCCTCAAGTAAGTGCTGTGCGGACATGCTTTTGAGGAAGGTGGCGGCTTGAAAATTGGTAGAATCGCAGACGACGTGCAATACGTTCTTGCCGTCAAGGTGCATTACGTCCACGTATACCGTATCATTGAAGTCAGTATTATCTTTGAGCTTGATACTAAACCTCCCCGGGGAGCGTCCGAATACTTGGCAGTGGTGGCAAAACTTTTGAATGTTGTAGAGCAAATCCCGCCTAAATTCGTGCCCGGCCCTTTTGAGAACAGTAGCAAATCGACCTGCTGAGGGGTGGCCAAAACGCTTGTGGATGGTCCTTAATTGCTTTTCCGTGAGGTGGCAATAGACGGTTTCGCCTTCGGTGCTATAGTAGGTAGCAGCGTGCTCCTTACTTAGTAGCATCCACACGTGCCTAAACATCCTTACCATTGGTATTTCCCTTTTCCTTTGGACTAGCACGTTCCGCAAGTTATCCAGGATCACTTTGTGCTTGTCTATGTCAGCTAATGAGAATAGGAAGGGTACGTCGCTCTTTACAACGTGGAACTCCACCTGACCCAGGGGTGTTTGTAGGGTAACTGCTCCAATAGAGGTAGCAGAGCCGATGCCGTATTTGACGGACTTCTCCCCTGCCCGGGATGTATCTAATTGGACCTCGGGGTACTTCTTTTGGAGTGCTCGTAGCTGGGGCAAGCTAGCGGTAGAGAAATTGGCTGCTCCGCTGTCGATCATGAGGCCTATGAAGACGTTTTCCGAGTACTTAGAGGCTATGTAGGTCTCTGCTTTGCTCGCGGGCACGTTTTGGGTCTCGATTTGGCTGGTAAGGGCGTGGAATGCCGTCTGAATCTTTAGCTGTTTGTATACCTCGTCAGCGTCAAAGGTGCCGTGGGTAGTCACAAAACCTTTTGATATGTTGGCGTGGCTGCCCGATTCGGGCGGCTCGTTTGGTAGGCCTGCGATAAACTGATCGAATTCTTCCGTGGATACAGGTGGCAAGCCTTCGATCGACGCCACGTATTGAGAGAATTTGCTTCTCGTCACCTTTTTTGCGTCCTTGGAGGCCTGGAACTTGGCGACGGATGCCTTTCTCTCGTCGGGGGTGTGGTTGGTGCTCCAGCAACTTGGCTTCTTGCAAACAAAACACCTTTTCTCACCTTCAGTAGTAGCCTTGGCAGCTTTCTTACTTCCGAAGTATTGGCGGTCTTGAATAAAACATTCGTATTCTTCGTCCAAATCGGAGTCAGCCTCTGAGGTGTTGTGAGAGCAGGTGTGATCGTGTGGCTCGCTAGAGCTCGCGTAAGCTTTAGCCTTGGCGGGAGGTCGGGAGGTCTTAGTTGCAAAGGCAATTGCTCGACGAATGTCAGCAACTGCCGCGGTGGAGGTAAAAGCAGGATTCATTCGTGCAATCGTAGTCTCTGGCACGTTTTTACAAGCTGAATACAGCTTGTCAGTAAGACTTCGATCGTCCCTTAAACCTGGTCGTAGAGAGCCCTGAATGCCCTTGAGCTCCTTAGCGAGCTTCTTAAAGCACTCGCTAAGCGAGGTCCTTGGATTCTCTTTCTTGACCAAATTCAGCGAAATTTCCTCTTAGCGGTCGTATTTTGCTTGCCGCCGGTGGTCAGTCTCGAAGTGGTCTCTTATAGCAATAGCGTTCGCTTTGAACGTAGGAAGCTTAGCCTTGATCACATGATTGTAATAGAAGGTTATAGCTTCCCTCGTCAGCATGATAGGGAACGCCGCCAAGTAGTCGTCTGAGGTCAAACCGTATCGACTTGCTTGGTCAGCAAAAATCTTTAATTGGGTCTTGAAGTCATCGTCGGGTCTTGAATACTTCAGCTCTTTGGGAAAGCTTCGCGCGAACAAGGCTAATTCCTTCGCTCTTGGGTGAGGGTCTGCTGCTCCTAGCTCAGGGAAATCGTTACCATCATCGTCAGGGGCGCCTGGAGTGCCGTACGCAGGTGTGCTTTGCTTGGCTAATGGTCTGATCGGTAAGGGATTACCGATATAGTTGCCGGTGGTCCGTCCTCTTCCAGGGTCCTTAGGAGGCTCATTTCCGAATCCGGGGTCCTTTGAGGGTCCGTTTCCGAATCCCCTTGGTGGTCCAGGGGGCCCATTTCTACCTCCTCCGTACCCGTAGCCTCGATCTCCTTGCCAATCTCCCCCGTTTCCTTTTCGTCGGTCATCGTCAGGATCGCCAGGGCTATTCGGGTTACCAGCTGGGGCTCCAGCTTGGTGATATCCGTACCCTT